ATTTTTTTGTACAATTGTATATGTAGAAAAATCTCCCGCAATCCAGTGCCAATGATTGAATTTTATATCAATATTTAAAAGGTAGTTTTTTATAGTAAATTAAACTGTTAGTATATACATATACATAATATTAATACACATGATTACAAAAGTATACAGGCCTTTGTACAAAAGTTGTGAGGAACTGAAAAAATTAATAAATTAATTTTTGAAATTATTTTATTGCAACGGGATTAAGAAATTATAAATTTAAATAAAGAAAATTTATTATAAAATTCATATTGTCAAGAGTATAGATAACTACATAACTACATATGTCACATTTCCCTATGTAATATGCAAACATCATACATAATATATTATAATTTTGATTTTGTATTAAAAAGACTCCCCCCCCCCCTTCTTTTGTTCTTCCTTCGTTCTCTTTTTCATTTTACTTAATCTACACACATTTATATGTGTTTCCATAGAAAAATATAAAATTTGAATTACTACACGACTACACTGTATAAGTTTTAGCCGAAATAAAAACAAAAATCCTGTTCTCATTTCTCTTTCATTACCAAACTACCCTCTTAAAAGAATTTAATTTTAATACAATCGAAATATAATAATAAAAAAATATGTAAGATTGTGTATAAATAAATGTATGTTAAACACACATATCTACCATATACATTGTAATATTTTTCGTACTAAAATAAAATTCTGTTTCCACTACAAATGTTATACACTTTTATTCAGAATAGAGAAAATAGAACAAAATATAATTAAATTATATTATAAATGCTCTATACTTTAGATATTTAAAGTTTACGTGTGTACATACACATGTGTATTTTTTCTTTTAATAAGTAAAATTGTAAAAATAAAAAATATAGAGAATATAGTACTGCTTTATAGAGAGTATAGTATTTGAACTTAACCTAACTTTTTTACAATATTTGATTACTATTCTGGGATAATTTGTGTTTTAATTTTACCATTTATGTAGATTTTACCAGTGCTGTAATATTGCAAAAATTTTTTACTGCCTTAATACTATAAGTTTATACATATACATATATCTCGATCAAAACTGAATTCTTAAATTTTATAATTGATATTATTAACAGTTCGGGGTTAAATTCTAGAAAATTTCATGAAAATCTTACTTCCCTCTTTAATTAACAAACTAGATATTGGATAACAATTGTCATAAAACTTATATTTATTGTTGATTGTAAATGGTGTAACAGGGTGAAAATGAATCTTGGCTCTCACAAATCTACTGTAGCCCCTAGAACATTTATAATTCTCCCTCTGGATCGAGATCCTCCACCCAGATGAATTTAAACTATGTGTGGGTATCGAAGTACCGGATCTCTGTCCCAGTTTATTTTAGTTTTATTTTTGAAATTTAATTTAAATATTAAAGAAATTAAATAAATGATAAATAATATACGAGTAAAATATAACAGAAAATGTAGTATGTGCTACAAATTCTAGTTATTATTAAATTATATAAATTTTAGTACTTTTTACAAACAAAGTACAATCCCATATTACATTTCGAAATTATCCCTTTATAATTTAATTTTTAGTATTTGTTCGAACCTTATTGTTTTATTACATACACACTTATATTTTTGTTCTACACCGCACACAAAACTAAATCTTTCTCTTTCTTTCATTTTTCCACACTTTTTTTTTTACAATTACTCTTCGTATAGAGAACTCTCTATTTAAATCAAAAAATAAAAATTAACACAAATTTATATTTGCAAAAGGACACAAATACAACCCTTATATTCCTATGTAGCTTAAAATTTTATTTTTTTTTTCCACCAACACTACACAACTTGTGAGTTTTGTCAATGATTTCTTTAATATATACAATAGTAAATTTGTGGGTATGCAATACAACTAATGTATATATAGTTGACATTGGCACATTGAATTTGTGATTGTGGTAGGACAACTGTGGAGCCATCAACAAAATTTTAATTGTACATTTTCAGATTTTCTTACCTGTGTGTTGGTTATGCTTCAAAATACTTACCACTCTCAAAAATTATATCATGTTCCCTTGGCATTACGAATAATAAGGTTGAAGAACAAGGACAGAAATAATATTAAAAAAAAAACGAAAATGGGGAAAAAAATATTTTTTTTTTTGTTATAATGTAGAACTTCTTCTGCTTTAAAATATTATGATTTTTTTATTCACACACGCACACATCTACAATAAAATGTTTAACTATATGGACTTGGACTAGAAAATGAATTTGCATAAAATGTACATACATTTATATATGTACATATTGTATGTACGATTCATAAGAATATTTTTGGGATAGCTGTTTCTCGTTATTAATTGAGTGCTACATTCATACATACATGAATTCGCAATTTCTTTTAATATTTTTTGCCCTTATTCATTGTTAAAGTTTTTATTTTTCGATGCTATTACCCTACTTATGTATATGTATATCTAATTTGTATTGTTGAAGACTGTTTGATATGCATTTAAGATTTACATATGGTATATATGATGCACATACATATGCACATAAACAATATTTGGGGAACATTCAGAATTTATTGAGAACTAATGATTTTTGCTACTTTAAACTTGGTTTAGGAACTAGTAACACTAGCTAATTTTTTTTTTAATTTTGAACACAATATAAATAATATACAGTCGAACACGCTTATATGCACACGCAATCAGGTAAAGTTTTTGTGCATATAGCCGTATTGTGCAGTTATCCATTCCCTATTGGCAACATTAAAGTTTTATATTAATTTTTTAAATTGGAATGACAATGAGAACGTGTTATGGATATATTGAACATAAAATAATAATTCCTATATTTCGCGCAGATAGCTCTCCAAAAGGTTTTTATTAGTAATGTTGTCAAAAAATTTGTGTTTATAAACAAAAACTCTTTGTATGGAACGGTGACAAAACTGCGTTATTATGAGAGTTGCAGGTAAACGTCACAAATAATATGAAGAATTAGAAAAATTAAAAAATTGTGGGTAAAATATGCAATGCGTATAAAGGTGTTTTTCTCATACAAATGCGTGTTGCAAATAAGCGTGTTCGACTGTATATAACATATATGTATGTATATCTAGAATAAATGATTTGTGGCAAAATTCATTGTTTTCTATAAATAAATTTTTAAATATTTTGTAAATCCAAATGTATGCATATATGTATATATAGAAGTATATTATTAATTCACTTTACAAACAAATAAAATATTGAAATTTGCTGATTTTACTTTTACATTCCGCTGTGTCCTTAACTCTTTTGCATAACGCTAGTTTGATTTTCAACTTTTTCGATTTTTGACCTCCTTATATTTATGTTGTACATGTTATATTAATATTATATATTTAGCCATAGTAAGTAATGACGATTTACAGCAGTAATTACTACATGCGTAAGTTATAAGACTAAAATATTTCATAAACATACTTACGTACATACATATTTAGTACAAGGTGTGTAACTACGTACAATATATACATATGTATTTTAATAACTATAAATATGCCAGCACTTATAAACAAAAAAGGATAATGTACAACAATCCAATTGATTATGAGTACTCTTGATTGTATAGTATGCACATTCATACATACTATTTCCCTACTGTATTAGTCGTATGCAAATTAAGATTTGGTAACAAAATCTGGGTACATAATATATTATCTGATAAGTACATACATATATTTTCGTCTGCAACTATTGTTCGACCTAATTTAAATTTTGAGGAGTTACCAATTTCCTTGGTAATTTCTAATTAAATCAAATTGAACTGAAAATAATTTGATATTTTTTTTCTCATTTTAAAGCAAAAATTACAATATTATTTTCATCAAGTAAAACAAAAATACCAGTACAAAAAATTCAAGCAACTCTTACAAAATTACTGTAGTATTTTTTTTAAGCAAATATACAAACCTTAACGAAGAACGTTTTTTAATTTCTCTTTTATATTTTAAACAACACGGTAAAGAGAGATTTCCGGTTAAATATTTTCTATTAAAAATTCTTTTCTGACAATATTTCGAATTCTGCAAAAGTCGTGATTGAATGGCAATTTGGAGTAGTAAGTCGCTATGTGGATTAATTTTTAATATAATTGAAAGCGACTCTCTATCGCACAATTATTGACATAAAATTAAAAATTGCATAAATACAGGCGAAAATTGTATTTTTTGTACTAAATTTTAAGATCATTGACAAATTTTTGAAAGAAAAAAATTATTTTTTTTTTTACATATCTGCTGTTATGAGTTTAATTTTTGGGATTTTTATTGACTTGCTACTTGTCGATTTATGAAAATATTAAAATATTTACAAATAAAAAATGAGAGTTTAATTTTTGCACTGTAAAAATTGAAGTATCGAAATTAAATTCTTATTGTACTTGACATTGGTAGTATGGTTAGAAAATATGATTGTTCGGTTATTTTGGTATGATTTTATAAAAATGCAATTTAACTACAATTTGAATGTGAACACATAAATTTAAAAAAAAAATTAGATAATTTTAAAAACTGAAATTCGCTAAAGTAATAAAATTTTATTTTGTTGAATATAAAAAAAAATATTTGTAGTTTTCTTAATCATTACAAAAATTTACGAAAATCGACATTTTGCTATCAAACATTTATAAAAGTGGACTCTGTAACATTAATTCCGTCATTCTGTGATTTAACAGTCATATTCAGCTCAGCTTCATATTAATGCAAAACGTAAAAACTACAAAGATGTTACTACATCTACTTAACATCAAGCTAGACCATATAGGATCCATGTGTTAGTGGGAATTTTTTGTTAATTGGTAAATAGAACAAATATGTTTAAGGGGTTTTATCATTGTAAAAAGAGATAGAAGTCAATTGTTTACATGAAAATCACGTGAGTAAAAGAAATAACAAGATGTGTAAGAATTCCAGCGAAACAGCTGGTTAACTGTCAGACACAACCGGCTTGTGTAGTCGTCTACACACTTATTTTTTTTTTGTATAAAGTGATTTAGGAAAAAAAGAATTTATTTTAATCAATTTTCATTCATTCACGGATTGGTAAAATTTAATCAAAAATTGTGTTTTCATAGACTGTTGGTGTTATTAATTAGAAAAAAAATATAAAAATAACAGTTTATTTACTATAGGTGTATTTTTTTAATTGAAAAATAGAAAAGAAAATCACTCAAAACTATTTACACACAAGAGAGAAAAAAAAAAGATGACTGAAATCGAACTCGGTAGTTGCAAGCATTTTACACAATATAAGAAAGATTTTAGTGTTAGATCATTTACTTTAGTGCACGGTTGTTTTTCAGCTTGTGTTAGCAAAGAGGCTAGAAAACGAAAGGTTTAAAAATAATAAAATTATATAAAATTTAAAAATAAATGAATTATATTAATTAATTGTTTTAGGCATTATCATGTCTTTGTTTTATATGTGGTAGCTCAGGTCCACAATTGTATTCCTGTCTTCATTGTATATTTTTTGGATGTAAGGGAGCTCACATAAATGAACATTTAAGAAATAGTGTGCATTATATAGCATTGGAACTTAGTTATGGGACATTGTACTGTTATGCATGCCAAGATTTTATATATGATAATGAATGTTTAAAAATATCAGAAGATCATTTACGTCTAGAAGCAAAAAGTTTAAATAGACCATTGCCTTGGCGTCCTTGTATTCCTAGTCAACAAGAAGTAAATATATTGTTGGAGAATCCAAGAACATATGTTTTATCATTTAATTCAGTTGGTTTAAGAGGCCTGTCAAATTTAGGTGCAACTTGTTTTATGAATTGTATAATTCAGGTGCGTATTAATAAATCATCAAAATTTTTTTTTTTGTTTAATTAGTGCTAATTTATTGAATTAATCTAAATAAATATTTTAGGTTTTAGTTCATACGCCGCTACTTAGAGATTATTTCAGTAATGGTTTACCAGAAAAAGATAGTTGTAATAATAGTATTAATTCAAATCGAGAATGTATGGTTTGTGAATTTTCAAGATTATTTCAAGAGTTTTATAGTAGCGAAAGCGATCCACTACCTCTTAATCATTTATTATATTTAGTATGGAAGCATGCTAAGCATTTAGCAGGATATGCACATAAAGATGCTCATGAATTTTTTATTGCATTTTTGGATTTATTACACATACATAGGCATCAATCAAAAACACAGCAACATGATCCAATAGCAGATAGCAATGAAATATATCCCACCAAATGTAATTGTATTATTTGCAAAATATTTACTGGTAGTCTGCAAAGTGACGTTGTTTGTACTGAATGTCATGGTGTTTCAACAACTATAGATCCATTCTGGGATATTTCATTAGATTTAGGTGAAGCACAAACTGGTACACCAAGAACATTAATAGAGTGTTTAGAACGTTATACAAAAGCTGAAAATTTAGGTTCAAATGCTAAAATTAAATGTTCAAATTGTAAGTGTTATCAGGAATCAACTAAAAAATTATCAATGAGATCATTACCAACAGTAGCAAGTTTTCATTTAAAGCGTTTTGAATATTCTAGTCTTGTAAGTGTAGTTTGTTTGTTTAATTTTTGGTCGTCTTTTTTTTTATGTGTATTTTTGTAATTTAATTTGGTAAAATATTTACATATATTTTAATTTTTTTTTTTGTAGGAAAGTAGAAAAAAGAAGTATAGTATTTCATTCCCGAAAGAGCTAGATATGACACCGTTTATGTCACAAAAGCAAGAAGACTTTCAAGGGGATTATCGTTATTTATTATATGCTGTTGTAAATCATACAGGTACAACAGAATATGGGCATTATACATCATATATTCGACATATTAAAGATGTTTGGGTTAAATGTAATGATGATATAATTACATCAGCATCTATTGAACAAGTCTTAAATAGTGAAGGGTATGTATTTTTAATTTAATTAGGTATTAGAACAAAATGGAAAAATGTTTTATTTGAAATTTTGCTTAAATATTGATTTTTATGATAACTTATATATAGATGTAGGTTTAATAGAAAATCTTCCTTCTCCTTTTTTCTTTATTTCAAAACTCTTAATGATTTAATTTTTTTTTTCTTTTTTTTTTGTTTTTCTTTTTTTCTTTTTTTTTCAAGGGAAACTTTTCTCAATCAATTCCCAATAATCTTTTAAGGTGAAAAATTATAAAATGTGAAAATTTTAATACAGTGCATAATTATCTTGAATACATTTTTCACATTAAGAATTTATTGATACAGCATAATATTCTGTATTTAGTAGTAAGGTTATATATAGACATCTTCAACATCAGCTGATTATTGTGTGTACCTGTAAAAGTAAACAAAAATTGTCTTCGTTTTTGTTCTTTTATTCATTTTTTTTTTATCAAATATTTTAGAATCTCTTTGTTTAATAGAAAAAAATTTTTTTTTGCAATGTGTACATATGTAAAAATGCAGACATAAACGATATTACATTAAAATGTGACTCATTCCATCAATATTTTTTTCACAATCAAAATAAAATGCTTTTTTTTTTTAAATTTCAATGAAATTTTATTAAATTTATTTATTAAATTCAGAAATTAATATTCAAAAACCACTAAATTTGGGTTTTTAGTGATTTTCCATATAAAAAAGACTAATGAAAATTGAAAACAAAATGCTCGCAGATTTTTCTATTTGAGTTACTCTATAAATTTTGAAGAAGAATCTTTGATATTTTGAGATACAATGTGAATATACTTTAGCTTCACAGACTCTTCCAATTTTAATATGTATATATATTGTATTTATAATGTTAAACTTTTAACTATCTAATATTTTTTTCTGATATGAACATGTCTTTCAAGTAGAAACCGATCATTATTTGCATGGTACTCCATATTCTTTGAGACAATGAGCAACTTTAAAAATTTTAGATTTTTTGGAATAAAATGAGTTTCGAAATTTTACAATTCTCTTCAATATTTTTCAATAATATCTCAAGTAATGCGTCTAATGGAATATAAGGGTTTATCAGATTTTTTATTTTGTCATAGTATATTTCAAGCATTTGCAGGAATTGACCTAATATTTTATTACATAAAGTTTTTATTATTACTTTAAATAATGATTTTCCAACAAAAATTAATATATTATAATGTATGTTTATTTAAAAACGATATATATTCTAATAGAATCAATATTGAATAATAAATTTTATCGTCAAATTATTACAAATGAAACATTTTAATATAAAATAATTAAAAGAAGAAACATATTATGAAGTTAATTTTAATTTTTGAAATTCATAGTAAATAATCTTATAATATTTTACTTTTCAGATATCTTCTATTTTATCATAAAAAGAAATTAGATTATGATACTTAATGACAACATTTCAATTAAAATTGATTATATCTTCCACCACTTTTTATATTTCCTCATCATTCAACATTTATATAATATTATTATTATATTAATAACTAAAAAAGAAACTATTAATTTAGTTTGATTATATTTTTTTTAGTTTTTTTTTGCCAAATTTAAAATTATTTAAAATTTGACAATGTGATCCTCTTAACAATTAGAACACATATTAATTCAAAAATAAAGAAAAAGAAAAAAAAAATGCCTAAAGTTAAATTTGAAAACGAAGAAGAAGAAGAAAAGTATGTAAAGTATAAATAAATAAATAGTATTTAAATTAAAAGCTTTGCAAAAATAAAACAAAAAAAAATATTTTTCTTTTGTTTTGAAATGTTAAACATTTCAAATAAAGAAAAGAAAAAAAAAGTAAAATTAAAATAAGTGTATTTAAAATAACAAAACAAAAATAAAAAATCCAAAAAAAAAAAAACAAAGAAAAAAGAAAAATAAATGTAGTTCTTTCATTCTAAATAATTAATTTAATAAATTAAAAAAAAAATTCAATGGTTCAATAACATAAATTGTAATCGTATAATGTGTAAATTAAGTTTAAAAAGGAGCAAACATACAGAAAAATAAAAATAATACCTTAAAAAAATATTCCATAGTATTCAAAAAGAAAAAAAAAGATTAGTATTTGTGATATTTAAATATCCAGTTGAATATTTAAAATTTAAATAGCAAGGATAAATAAAAATCTAAAAAATAAATAAAATTTATTTATAATTGAAGGCAAAATTTTAATTCCACATTGAGTCATTTAATATTGATTATGTAGATAGCTGGTAGCTTAAACTTTAAATTTATTATGAAAACATTTAGTAAAATTTTTGTAAAAGAAAAATCAAATTTTTCCTCTAATGAGTCTTTTATTTTATTTTTAATTTTTCATTCCTTAAATTCATTAGACTTGTAATAAAATTTTTTCTATGAAATTAATTTTTGCTAGTATAAACTCATATCAATTATTTTTAATTATTTAAAATCAAATTCAAGAGTCTTTAATAGCAATTTGTTTTAGTAATATTCTTTTTATTATTGATTAGGACAAATTTAGATAAAGCTTTAAGGGCATATCTGAATTATTGAAAATCCAATTATAATTCTTCGCCTAATACTTTTTGACTGCTTCTATATAAAATACAGAAAAACAGAATTTATCATAAATAATAAAGTATTCATAAATTTAAATAAAAGAAAAATTAATCTTATTTCAGTAAAACATAAAATTTTTGACTTAATTTGAAATATACATAGAAAAATACTTTGAGAAATATAAAAAAAATTCATTTTCATAAACCAAGGCCCTCCTATTGCACCATTCACTTTGATTTAAATCAATTAATCTAAAAATTTGAAAGAAATCTTTTAAATTTTTAGAAAGCACCTAAAAAAAAAAATATGGAAAACAAAAAATAATACTGATGTATTTTTTTATTTTTAATATTATATATAACTTTTTCATAGTATAATAGTTTAAAAATAAGAAAAATAAAATAGTTAAAAATTCTTGTGAATTCATATAGAAACTTTTTTTTTTTTGATTTCATATACCTACAATCATACACAATATGTATATGTATATTGAATAAATAAAAAAATTTAAACAAAATTTTGAACATTAATTAATCAAAAAATAAAAATTAAAGAAATATCATTACAAATATAGCAAGAGAATTTTATAAAAATAAAAATATTTAAAATAGAATATTTAATTATGTTTCCACATTTTTATATTACTTGTAAATTAATTGTTTTATTGCAAAGAAAATTTATATTTTATTTCAATATTTAAATAGAAAATTTAACAAACTATAAAAATAAATATCTTATATGACTCTGGGGCTTATGCCGAATTATTCTCTATTCTCTAATATAAGAAAATTTTTAAGATATTGTGCAATTAACTAGGAATTTTGACTGTAATATTTTGGAAAATAAAATATCAATCTTTTAATTTATAATCTAAATATTTGCAGTGAAGTTATATTTTCGAATATTTTTCAAATTATTTAAAAATTTTTAAAATGTGAGATAGAGGATTTTTTCCATAAGCCCTCGTCTATTTGAATTTAAATTTCAATTTAATTCATTCAATCTAAACCAGTAAAGATTTCTATTGATTTTAGAGTTCTAATCTAAATCATTTAATCAATTTAAATCAGTCCATTTTTTTTTTCTTTTAAAATCAAATTTTATCAAAATTAAATTTTTTAATTAAAATAAAATTAAATTTATTTTGGATATTATTAAAAATGTAGTAGAATTATAATTATTGCTGATAAAAGGTTTCTGAATTTACAAAAAAAAAAAAAGATAAATAAAAAAAAAAAACAAATTGAAAACTTAGATAATAAAATTATAAAAATATTTTCTATTTATTTTTTACAAAACAAATTACGTTTAATGATATTATCTCCGTTACAAAATACATAAATATAAATTATCTTTACTTATAAAATAATAAAATAACATTTTAAAATAGAAATTATTTTAAAATTATAAAAAATATAGTACACAGCAACATGTAAGAAAAACAAATATTAGAAAAAACTTATGAATAAATTTATGATTTAAATGTTATAGGTTAAAATAAATAAATAATTTAATGTAAAAGTAATAATTATTCAAAATAAATAAATGAATAAAAATAATTTTTGTGTTAACATGCTTATTATACAAAAAAAAAAATTAATTTTGTTCAACATCAATTACAATTTTTAGCTTAAAATATTTGCTATTGATATTATTTCTTGAAATATTTTAAAATCGATACTGTGTATTATATTTTTAATAAATATTGAAGGTGTGTTAACGTTTAAAACATAAAATAATTATAAAAAATTAAAGAGTTGGAAACAAAATAGTGATATAGATTAAAAAAAAACATATATGAAATGCATATTTTGAGATGACTAAATTTTTAAACCATTCAAAGAAAACATTAATTTTTTTAGATTCTATATATATGTATATTTTGTATGCTTCAAGAAAAATAGCATTATTTCCATTTGCAAAAAAAAAAAAATACTTTATTATAATTTATTACATTATTATGTACATTCACAAAATTAAATTCAAATTTGAAATCATTAAAAAACATAATAATCATCATTATAAATAAAACGAATAATGAATTTTAGAATATAATGGCAAATTAAAACTTATTTTAACGCCAAAGTTAATAGCTTTGGAATACATATTTTATTTCAATAATTACAATTAATAATAAATATTAATGGATATTATGTAATTTGATTTTAATTCGAAAATTAAATATTTATAAAATATATAACCATTTAATTTTAACTATTTTGCAACGCATATTAATATTTAACAGAAAAAAAATTAAAAAAAAAAAATTTAATAATTTATAATTAATTTAATATTTATATATAAGGGTAGAGTTTTTGTACATCATTTTTTTTTTTTTAATAAATATTAATAAATTATTGTACTGTACTGTGTGTTTGAAATACAGAAAAAGTTTTAAGGAAACAAAAATATTATTTAAATAAATTACATAATTAAAATAAATCAAAAGATGAAAAATTGTAAAGGGGTTTACCAAAAAAATGTGATTTTTGTATTAAGCTTTTTGATATTTTAAAAATAAATATTTTCTTCTTTATCTATTACTCAATGGAATATTTAAGATAATGTAAATTTTCACGGGATATTGTATAATTTTTAAAATATTTAAAACTGAATACATATTTTATGTGTATATTTGTACACATAATATGTTATAATATTTCTACTATTAATTTGTGGCAAATATTTTCTTACTAAAAAATTTATCTAGAAAGTTTTATTAGTATAAAAATATGACTATAATAATTACAAAATCAGAATTATAAAAAAAAAAAAACAAAATCAAATATCAAAACTTAATAACTTTATCATATTTTGTTTTAAAAGCCTTAAAATATATAGGATATTAAAAATGTAGAATAATGTAAATAGGAGAAACAAAATTAAATAAACTTATTTTTTTTTTTTTTTTTATTAATATTAACCCTCGCTACCTAAGAATAACAAATTAAAACGTCAATAAAAAAAATTTGATACTCAAAATATTGGTCATGTGGTCAATCAAGGCCAGTTAAGCCAGCTTTTTTTTTTTTTATATATATATATATTTTTGTTATATAAAAATACAATATAATTAACTCATATGAGAGTATATTAATCATATTATATTAAATTTAATAATAATAATTTAATAGAATATCAATAATAATATCTTATTTAATTTTAAGATTTTCTGCAGTTATAGTTCTTATAATTAATAAAAAAAAAAATAAAAATAAAACCATTTTTCTTTTTAAGTTAATTATAGCCAAGTATTATTTTATGAAATTTTTCATAAAACATAAAACAGTCATTAAAAAAAAAAAACAAAAAAAAAAAAATTTACTTCATATTTACTTGTAAATATTTTTCAAAATAAAATACAATATTTATATTAAATACAAATAACGAATATTAAAAAAGAAAAATTTAAGATATAAGATTTCATCTATCCAATAAAATGGAAATTTATTAATTACATAAAAAGAAAATCCAAAAAATAATAAAATTAAATAAATAAACTGTTAAATTAACATAATGTTATTTTTCCCCTCCCCCTCCTATATCTTCCCATGCGCGAGCTTTTGAAGAATAATAACAAAATTAATTAAATTTAAAATTTGCTTAAAATAATGCAAATTAAATTAATATTTATATATTAAATAAGTAATAAAATCTATAAAAATGTTTTCTTTTTTATAATAATATTCTTAAAAAAAGTGAACAATTCAACTATTTATTACAATATTATTAAAATATTACAAATTACAAAAGAAAAACAATAAAAATTCAATAGCTTTATACAAAACAAAAAAAAATATTAATATAACTGAAAAAAAAAAAAAAAAAAACATTTTTATTAAATTAAAATTGTTCATATCAAATTCATCAAAAATGTATTGGTCTCATCAGCCATGAATGTCAAGAGAATATTAAATAATTAATA